TCTGAGTCCCTTTTGCCATCCCCCTCTCATCCAAAGTTTCTGCCTCTGTGGTGCTTACCTGCCTTTCAACTCCTCAGCATTTTCTTCGAGGCAGTGAGATCAAGAAACCAACCCTCCCACCAGTGCCCACCACGGCCTCAACTGGACCCACTGCCTTCTACTGAGAAGTTATAAAAGGACTATCACTCTAAAAGGAATTTTCAGTTTTAAGAAAACCTTCAGTCTCAGAAAAGGGCCACATGGATAGATTCATAGATGTTAGGGCCGGAAGGGACCTCAATAGATCATCGAGTCCGACCCCCTGCATAGACAGGAAAGAGGGCTGGGTCTAGATGACCCCAGCTAGATGCCTATCTAACCTCCTCTTGAAGACCCCCAGGGTAGGGGAGAGCACCACCTCCCTTTGGAGCCCGTTCCAGACCCTGGCCACTCTAACTGTGAAGAAGTTCCTCCTAATGTCCAATCTAAATCTGCTCTCCGCTAGCTTGTGGCCATTATTTCTTGTAACCCCCGGGGGCGCCTTGGTGAATAAATCCTCACCAATTCCCTTCTGTGCCCCCGTGATAAAAATGGAGAAGAGCCAAAGCTTGTAAAATAAGCACCTTCTATTACTGGAGAAGAGGCTAGTGCTAAGGAAGGTGCTACATCCTAACAATGCATAGGAGCCCCTGGCTCAGGAAAACTTCTGTCTCTCATTCTGGGGGTCAGGGTTTCCTTCTAGTGAAAAACCGGGTGATACTAAAAGTACCACATGTGGTGGAACACAGTGCAAATGTAAGTACAGCAAGCAGGGATTTAGTCCTTCCTTCCTTTTCACGTCCTTGTGTGATAAGGTATTTAGCAGAATTTGCAGATTTGCTAGAATCTGACAGACCTGTGCCATGAGTACTTCTGCTACGGCCTCCAACTTGTGACCTCTGGGCTGTCAACTATGTACTTAAGTACCCACACCACCTCAGCTGCACCTAGGGTACTGCTTGGGCATCAGAAGCCCTATGCTTTATTTCCAGAATGAATGCCAACTGCTATGTCATCATACTTCACTTTCTAGACCTGCCCTGTGCCCTGCCCTGTGCCTACTATCTCTTTAGCTTGTAAGCACCATGCAGCAGATGCTAGGAGTCTCCACGGCCCTTAGCACAATGGTGGCACTATCATAATAACATCAGGTACTGGGGTGTGCTCCAGGTTTCCTGACTATGACAGCTGCTGAACACACTGCCTACTCTTTTAATTGGAGATATCCTTGCCTTTGGAAGGACAGTTTTTAAAGAAGAAACTGTGCTCAGGCTTGATATTAACCAGATGGGGAATGATTAGAGAAAAGAAAACTCAAAATACTGGGAGCTCATGTGACTTATTAGACAGATGTCATACAGACTCTACAGGACTCCCAAATTCTTAAAATTCCACAGAGCTGCAAACCAAACTGAGTGAAAAGAGTCTTTGCTCATTTGGACTTCACTTGAAAATGCAACAGATTCTCCTGATTCAGTAAGTTATGAAACACATGCTTCCCAGGGAATTAAACAAGTCCTAGTCTGTGCCCAACCCTCAATACAAAGCCTTAGCTCTTGAGAAGAAGCTGTGGAAGTTGACAGTTCTTTAACATCTGGAGGTTGCTGATTCAGTCCTCAGTGCATCTACCATAAGACTGGCACTGCATACAAATGATGCATTTGGAACTACCAATAGTAGCCAAGCAAAGCTTCAGAACACCTGGTCAACATTAACAGCATGAAATACACTGCTTAGAAATATCTCAGATATTAGACAATTTGATGTTTGTAACAGCAGTGATATCAGAAGAGGGACCTGAATCAGATGAAATTACTTGGGAGCAAACATAGGCATAGCCCTCATCCAACCTACCACTTAAAAAAGGCATGGATCAGTGTTGTGCAAACAAAGTAAGGGGAAAATGCCCACCTAGTCCTGCTGCTAAATATTAGAAAAGCATTTTAAAAAACCCCAAAAAGCAAACAGTTAGTTGAGCTGCAAGATGAAAAAGAAAAAAAAGACAGAAAAACCAGAAGGGGGTAAGAAAAGTGCATCATACTGTTTATGTATAAAGACCCCTTCAGTCTAGGCTTGTTGTTTTCCCCAGTCCCCACTCCGAAGGGCAACTGAAGCTACAGCAAGACTGCTGGCTCCTCATTTCATCCCTATGCTGTAGCACTACAGGAGTTCCCTTGCTTTCCCTGCTGCTGATCTGTATTGCAGCACTAGCAGGTATTGTCACCTCTCTCTCTCTTCTACTGATTTTGTCAAGTCCAACCATTTTATTGTTGGGTATAACCCTCCACAAAAAAAAAAATCTATCTATCTATCTATCTTGCATAACTAGGTTATTAAATAACAAGCAATAATGAATTCCCTCAGATCAAGGCAGTTTTTTAACTAATTTTTAAATGAAAGTCACCCTCACCAAAATCCTTCCCAATGAACTGCTCAAAAAGCCGACTTGCTGCCAGCCATAGAAAACCAGTATGACTCAGAACAGAAATATCAAGAGAACTACCCATGAAATGCCAAGACAGCATTGTGCTTGCTGTATGTGTATGCATGTATGTGAACTGTTTTTCACAGAAACAGAAGAACAGTTTGTAGGCCAGTAATGACTTAGGTGGAAATGAACCTTGCCAAAAATAAATATATATCCAAGACTTTGTTTTAGATCAATGGCTGTAATTTAAAGTAAAAAAAAAGTCCTGTCTGGATCAGAGAAACAGTTTCATATATCATTTAAAGCAGTGCATTTAAAGAACTTTAGTAAAGTCATTTCTCTCTCTCCACTTTCACACTTTTGTAACATCCGATTCCCTAATAAACTGAAATGTAGGAAGAGACGCCCGCCCCTGTTACTTGCTAAATGTTCTAAGCCCCCCAAGTATCCTACTATGTACAGTGGAAGTCAAAGTTGGTACCCGAAGGTGTTTGACACAATTCAATCTTTAGACTGCAAGATCTTCGGAATAAAAACCAGTTGTTCAGCGCACTGCACCAAGGGTAAAACACTATATGCTGTCACAGTACTAGAGAAGAAACAGCAGGAGGTGATTGGGCTGGGATATATTTTTACATTAGCCCTCCTACCATATCCAGTTCCTAGCCACTAGAAATAAAGAAGGGAACACTGGACCCAGCAGTATTGCCTACAGGCAGAATTTTCCTCTTTAGCCTCTTTCCTCATCCAAACAAGGCAAGGATATACTATAGCAATGATGCAGTTATCACATTCCCCTCTGGAATGCCCCAGGAAACAAGAAAATTAATTTCCTCCCAAGCTGAGAACCCATGCTCTGTGCTTCTTGTGTACTTCTGAAAGAAGCAACAAGGATTTAATTACTGAAAATAGAGGGAACATGCCAAATATATGTATTCAACTTAGATAAAAGACAGTGGAAGTTTTTCACATGGTTAAATAAACTATTTCAACAGTGCTGCAATAACTTTTCCATTGCATTGTGTAAAGGGATCTTGGGCAGGGGAAACAGGCTTTCACAGCTTTAATTTTAAAAGCAGACAAGATGAACCTTACTGACATAACACTGGAAAAATAAATATGAAGATACCAGCTTTTATTAACTCAGAAAATGATCTTTTACATGAGAGCCCAAGTTTTCGGTCCTCTTACAGAAATTCACTCAGCATGGATTTCATTCTCAATCAAACATGTATCTTGACAGCTCATCTGCCCATGCAATGCCATAACCCTTAATACGTGAAACAAGTAAAAATTATGTATTAGGTAGGGAGCTTAACTCATTTTGAAACAGTATAAAAGCATAGAAAAGAGTTACATTAAATTGCAGAGCTCCTTTGTCTTCTCTCACACGCTCTTATTTTAAATAAGAACTGGCAAGTTTCTAACCACGTAATAACAGTTTTGCGTACTTTCCAGATTTAATTTTAACTCACATGTCTTTTCCCTGTATGCCATGAAACATAACCACATTCAGAAAGTTTTTGAACTTTAATTTTGGCCCATCCTCAGTGTTTAAATGACCCCAGAGTGGAGTCACTTGGATCAAAGCATATATGGATCAGAGTCCAAATTGAAATTGGAACCAGGCTCTTCCAAGTTCTACTCCTGGCTTTGGCACTGACTTATTCTGTGACCTTGGGCAAGCCACTTAATCTCTGAACCTGTATGCAGGGAAGACAGCACTGAATTACATCCTAAAGATATGGTGCTGCAAGGCTAAATTTATAAGCTACTTTCAAAACGTAAATAATTATTTTCAAGTGCTAAAAGCAGGCTCCAGATACTGCAGTAACAGGCACAATGAAAGCAGGCAGCTAGAGCTTGTTGAATTATTCAATGAAATATTTTGTTGTTGCAAATTTCACACGTCTCTTGGCTTCAAGTTGTTTGCAACCCAATTGCGAGGTCTGCAAATCTGTTTGTTATTAATAAAGTGTTTGACCAGTGCCTGATGGGAACAAATTTTAGCCCATGGAGTGTTTGTGAGCCTCTCACACTATTCATGAGGTGCGATTAATCACATGACATTGTTTCTGCTTCCTGAGTGGCAACAAACTTAAATAGGGACATAAATAAATGATGAATAGCAAGTAGTAATGCCCACTGTTGAATGACTTGTGAAAAGATTCATTTGCAGAAATTTTCAGTAAACACACACACTGTCTGTCAGAATACTTGTAAACAATGAATATTATTAATCCACACACACACAAACACTCCAGTAAACTCAATTTAAGTAGCAAAGTCATTTCTCTCTCCACTTAGAATCTTGTAACATGGACTCCCTAACAAACTGAAATGTAGGAACTGTTGGGTCCAATCCTATCAATTGCTAAATATTCTGTAAACCCCCCCAAGTACCCTAGTATTGACAGTGGAAGTTGAAGTTGGTACCTGAAACTCTGTTAAGTTCTGTTTTAATTTGTGAATCCTTGTCTCCATAAGTAAAGTAACTCAGCTGATGACTGTTGCTATTTTGGAAGAAGGGAGGAGTGATGGCGCAGGACTCAATCTCCACTTGCAATCCTAAATTAGTTTGAAGTTTCTATTAATGAAGTACTTCACACTGGCAATTCAGTGCTCATGCTTAGGTTTCAGAGTCAACGCGCATTGACCTGCATGTGGTTGCTCTCGCAGTTACTACATCAGCACAAGGCAGGGTAGACTGGCACCTTACAGGTTACCTAAATCAGAGATGCGGGCTCTTTCGTAAGCAGCAGCTTACTTCATCAGATGCTGCAACAGGACATGGGCATAAGCACAGGTGAACAGCCGAATGCTTGGAGGCAGGGATTTACTTCCAAATCCTAGTTCTTTCATTATTTCACAAGAGCTTAACATCCTGCAAAACCTGAGGAGGCCAGCAGAGAATCGCTGGCCAAGCACAACACGGCACAGTGCCGCATCTCAGCCACTCGGGGACAGCCCGCTCAGCACGGAAAGCCCTTCAGCAGGCAAAGAAGATGCGGAGCAGTGCCAGCTGCTTTGCTGCCAGTTACACCTCCATCTCAAGGGGCAGGTGAAAGGCACTCAGGGGAGGCATTCAAGGTGAGGGTGGTGGCAGAAGAACCTGCCCACACACTGGCATGGTGGAGGGGCGGAGTTGGGTATTACACTTGAACACACACACATGAGCACACGTGTGCGCGTGACACAATCACCCCCCAAAATAGCTGCATATAAACTGACTGTGTAGTTCAGGGTCCCCTACATCCCCCCCCACCATAGCTGCAAATTAATTCTCCCCTCAGGGCAGGGTCCGCCACCTATGCCCAAAAAACCCAAAAACAAAACTGCACATTAACTCTCCCCTTAGTGCAGGCTCTCCTACCCACCCACCCGCACGTGCCAAAATAGCTGCACATTAATTCTCCCCCCAGTGCAGTCCCCTACCCACACACACAATCACCCCCCAAAATAACAGCACATTAACTCTCCCCTCAGTGCAGAGTCCCTTTCGCAGGGATCCCACCAGTTCGCATCCATTCACGCAGAATCCCTGTCCCCCG